AATACTTTTTATATCATGACACTGGATTCTGATGCACAAAAGAAAATCAAGTTCTTTTCCCTCTGCACACCCTATAGTTGTCAGAATCATTGCTTCTCTTTGTTTTTTACATACAGTAACTAGGAAGAGATGCTTTATAAACTCTCTTGTTCCTCCAGTCAGGATGTCAACAAACTATGAATAATGAAATAAAAAAAATTCCAAATGAATGGCTAAGACCCAGCAGAGAATTTTAACCGGGGGAAGAGAAGCAGCATAAGGGCTGCATGACAATAATCATCATTACTGCTAATAAAGCATCTCTTCCTGCTGRTGTGGTGTGGGGGACAAAGGGAGCCCAGCAGGCTGGACCCACCATGTGCCATCCTGCCCACGCTCCGGCCCCTGCCCGCCCTTCCTCCCACTGATCCCGGGAGAACTGGCACCGCCCCAGCCCCGAATGCCAAGTGATCCATCAAAGCAACGATTTACAAATAGGAGAGTGAACTCTGCTGGCATTTTTCAAGGGGTAAAAATGGGCTTCCCTTTTTTCCTTCCAAAAATGTGGAATTCGTTCATGCTCCGATTTTTGAGGCGTTGTTTTAATTTTAGGGGCAGATGTGCCCTTGCAGAAATTCTCACTCATACACACTTTTCATGCATTACTTGGTTGTAGTTGGATGMMGTTTTTCCCTGACTTWTCCCCACTGCTGTGGTAYTAAAAYCATAGAATCACAGAATCATTTAGGTTGGAAAAGACCTTTAGGATCATCGAGTCCAGCTGTTAAACCAGCGCTGCCAAGTCCGAATCTTTCACGCTGTTGGGGAAGGTTAATTTGTTTGTTGAACACAAACAACTGGCAGTGCCTTAAGCTGTTCACTATTTCCTTTTTCTTGATACCGGCAGCTTTACCCCTCCTGCGACCGAAGCTTTACTTACCCCTTCTTTCAACTGATCTCCAGCATTATATTATTTATGAATAAAGGTCACCCCGTGAGGAAATGGCACATCTACTAGAAAACAATGTGCACTTTCTAAATTTGAACCGAGTCGTTTCCGTTCTTTGATTTAAGTTTAGTTACTTCCTGTGGTTTCTTGTCCTACGCCACTGCTGAATCTTTGGATTGACTCCAGGATAAATTGCACTCTTTCAATGAAATTAGAAACTGCGGCAATGATGGCTCAGCCAGAGCGGCTGGTAAACAGCACTTCAGCTAAACATTAGTGCACTTAGTGGGCTGCACAAGTGTCTCATTACCTGTGTGAGGTGATGGATCCAGCCTGAGCCGTGTGGGTGCTCTCCTGGGAGCTGCATCCTCGGCTCTCACCGGGCAAGGTGCTGAGCAAGCACTTCCACCTCCCACGGGAGGGACAAAGGAGCCTTTGGAAYGAGCAGCTCCCCATGGAGAGGGGACACTTCACCCCAAAATAATCGAGCCATCCTCCCACAGGCAGATCCTTGGGCAGCACGGACAGGTGCTCAGCCCCACACTCAGCTCCGTGCCAGGTGAGTGCTTCCTCAAGCCACAATCCTTCATCAGAGTTTTTGGAGATCAGGGTCAACTGGGGAAAACCTCCAGAGTTTAGAGAAGCCATTTCAGGCAGTTTGCTGACAAATCCACWTGTGACTGAGCACCAGTAGCCCCGGGATGTGCTCTCCCTCAGTAAAAACCATGAATGGGCTCTTCAGGAGCCCGCAGTGACCGCAGCCCTCGCAGGGCTGGAGGAGCTGTGGATGGCCACGATCAGGGAGGGGAGCACAGCAGAAAAGGAGGAGTGAGGCACTCTGTACCTGAGTGCTCTGCCTCCYCAGTTTGCCTTGGGAGACCTTCAGCACCATAACCAGCCTCAGCAGAGAGCCCTGTTGGGCTGGGCTTGCAGGACACCTCAATAACGACACCCTCTCTCTCTCCCCACCCCTTTTCTTTCTCCTTCCCTTCCCCCAGGACCCTTAAGCACAGATTTCCCCCAGTAGTCAGACTGCTGTCTCAATGGAGCCCCGGATTCCYCACAACATCACCGTGGTCCCCAACTCGGCCATGGTGCAGCCCTTGCTGGACAGTCGGATCCCCTACGGGCGGCTGCAGCACCCGCTCACCATCCTGCCCATCGACCAGATGAAGACCACGCACATGGAGAACGACTACACCGACAACCCCAGCGCCGCCCAGCCGCCAGCCCAGAAACGCCCCCGAGCCCCGCACGAAGCGGGCAGCACCGGCCAGCACCCGCAGCGCTGCGAGCAGGACGTCACCCACCCCTGGATCTCCTTCAGCGGGCGCCCCAGCTCCATCAGCAGCAGCAGCAGCACCTCGTCAGACCAAAGGCTCCTGGACCACATGGCCCCGGTGCCCGTGGCCGAGCAATCGTCCCCCCGCGCCGTCCGCATCCAGCCCAAGGCCATCAACTGCAAACCCCTGGAGCTGAAGGGCCCCRCTGGAGGGTCCCAGGAGCTGGACAAGCACTTCCTGCTGTGCGAGGCCTGTGGCAAATGCAAGTGCAAGGAGTGCGCCCTGCCCAGGACTCTGCCCTCGTGCTGGGTGTGCAACCAGGAGTGTCTGTGCTCGGCGCAGAACCTGGTCAACTACTCCACCTGCATGTGCCTGGTCAAGGGCGTCTTCTACCACTGCACCAACGAGGACGACGAGGGCACGTGCGCCGACCACCCCTGCTCCTGCTCCCAGTCCAACTGCTGCGCCCGCTGGTCCTTCATGGGCGCCCTGTCCCTGGTGCTGCCCTGCCTGCTCTGCTACCTGCCCGCCACCGGCTGCGTCAAGCTGTCCCAGCGATGCTACGACCGAGTGAGCCGGCCCGGCTGCAGGTGCAAAAACACAAACAGTGTCATTTGCAAGGCGTTGCCYGAGAGCAAAGGGCCAGAAAAGCCCTTTTAGTAGTTTGGGAGCGGGAGGGTGCTCCGCGGAGCTGGGTGGTGGCGGCTCTTTTTAATAACCTGTGTTCTGAGGAGAGCGTTCGTCTCTTGCCTTCGGAGAAAGCAGAAGCAACTATTTCCACAAACTGAAGCACTTTGGGTTATTCAGGGTTTTTGGAACTGGTCGCAATTTAAATAGATRGGGCCAAAGGAGGAATGTTAATAATGCAGAGTGAAGGCTGCAAACCGATGTACATCATGAAGTACAGCTGCTGAAAAGCTCCCGGCTTGGACGGACAGACGGCTGCTCACCAGGCCTGCACACCACAGGAACCATTAACTGCTCGCTTGGCAGCCACAGCCTCACAACCAATCCCCATTCCCAGCTGCAAAAAGCTGCTTTGAATTCGCATTTGGGGCGGGCTGCTTGTTTCCTCTCTCCTTCCAAACCCCGACTCGCTCCTAGCAGCCTGTTGAAGGTGACGGGGGAGCTCCCTGCACCCTCCTTCCCTCCTGCACACCACTGCAAGGGCTGGTTGCACACCAAGTACRTGTTTCTCAAAAGCTTTCTGTGYCCCTCAAAGATTTCTGAACCAGAMGCRAAGCTACATTTCCTTTGTTGAAGGRTCTTTTGCCGTGGGGCRTATCCCACCCGGCCCCRCTGGTTTGGACCCTCTTTCTAAAGCAAGATGGTGGCAGGGCTGCTCCTCCCACGAGGAATTGCAGCAGGATGTGTTCGGGCAGTTGTATCAACACCGGGTCCTCCTGCCTGTAAGCTGATCCACAGCATCGGGTTTCACTCAATGGAATATGAATTTTCCATCAACAGAGCAGCCCCGCTCGGGGAGGATGTTGGCCGATGCCGCTTCCCCAGCGCCGGAGCTGAGGGGATTTCGCTCACGCCGCAAAGCGAACACGGGCGGGGCTGGGTTCTCTCAACCTCTGCAGCTCTGGTAAAGTCACACAAACCTAAGTGTGCAACGCTTAGGTGGATTTTTCTAGGGATCTCAATCCAGTACCTCCCTCTCCTGGAACAAGCTCTTCTTTGCTCATTGAATATCAAGATTTGTTTTTGTCTTGGGGGCGAATGGCATTTGCTTGAAGTACAGCCCATTCCCCCACCCCTATTGCTGCTGTTGGACTTTTGCCTCTTCTGTACAAAAGTGTCTTTTTAAATGTAAAGAATGCTTTTAATGTTTATTTTCGTGTTAACACACACTAGGGAAAGCCAGGGGAAGGAAGAGAGTGCAGTTAACGAATGTGCCCGTGGTTTTCAGTACGCAATTATTGGCTCTGTCCGTGCACTCATCCTGGGGCCGGTTCTGCCTTCCCTAAGGATGCTGCAACCCCTCTCTCTTGACAACTACAAGGTGCTAAACAAGAATCTCGGTCCAAACATGCAACACTCTAATGAGTCGGTAGGTACTTGTTGCATGCAGAAAACTGACCTGGTCTCTCTTTGTGTTTTTAATTAGAGGAGATTTCCTCGGTAAATGCACAGCAGTGACAGTGAAATGTCATCTCTAATTAGATAAGCAATAGGCAGAGCTCATGTAGCATTTCCAGGAATCCCGCTGGCCTGGCTGCGCCGCAGCCGCTGCCTGGGGCTTGGCAGGAGCGTCCTGATGGGACTTGCAGAATTCAGCTCACCTGGATGACTTGGGGTTTAGCTCAGTTGAATTGTAGATATTTATTGATTGGGGGAGTTAAAAAACAAACCAGTAAAACCCCAACAAACTTTTATATTTATAATGTTTGCTAGCTTGTACATGTCGGATCATAGAAAAAAGGATTTAATGTGTGTTACAGATAGCAACTCCTCTCGGGCAGCCTCGTGTTACYTGTGTGTGGGCACCAGGAGGCAGGTGAGGATCTGGACCTGTATTTATTATCTTGCACAAACTGGAGGGGAAAAGATAAAAGGAAAACCAACCCCAAACTAGCTGAACTGTTGGCTGAATGTATCAGATATTGTATTTAATAAGAGAAAYCATTTTCCTAAGATACAAGCAAGCTAGAAACGGCAGCAGGAGAGGAATTTACCTGCTGCCCTCCTCTGTTGGGACCACACRTGTCCAAATGGCCTCCACCCACGGCTGCTTTGCCTTCTTGACCCCCTGTCCCTGGCTGTTCCTGGGGAATCTGTGCTGAAAGTTTGTGCTGGCAGAGCCCGTGGCTTGGCTGCACGGTCCTGGCGGGCAAAGGCAGCACTGAGGGGTCGCCACTGTGCCAATCTACACTCATGTACATAGCCCCAGCCCCCCACGGATCTCCTCTTGCTGTACATAGCTGTAAACTATTTCTCTGTCAGTTTGGTTTGCAAATGAAGCCCCGGAAGGYGGTGCTGGAGCCTGTCCTGCGTTGTGGATGTGTTAGAGCAGTGGTCAGTGTAGCAGAGTGACCCTCCTTGTCCCCTCGGGGGGCACAGTGACCCTCCGTGCCCGCTGGGCTCCTGGCACACCGCCGGACCCTGCCCCAGCAGCTGCCAGCCCCGGGCACAGGGTGGTGCTGAGCCCTGGGAAAGGCTCTGCTGGTGGAGGGAACGGCTCCTGTTGGTTATTCCCTTTCCTGCCCATCCCAGAAATCCATCCCCCCGTGCCCTTTGAAGGTACTTGGGTCTCCTGCCACCCCCGAGATCACCACGGGCATGGTGCCGTGTCACCCTGTCACCCTGTCACCCTGTCACCGTGTCACCGTGCCACCCTGTCACCATGTCACTGTGTCATCCTGCCACCGTGTCACAGCCCTGCAGCTCTGCCCTCCTCCCATGGCTCACAGCCCCTGCTAACGAAGGGACAGCTGCTAACGAGCACAAAGCAGCGATGCCATGCTGGGATGGCCATGGAGAAGGGAGGGCACAGAGGGCATGGAGGGCACAGAGGACAGGAGGGCAGAGGGACAGGTTACCCTGAGCCAGGTGCCAGGCACTGGAGGAGGAAGAGGATGGCAGGGCACCTGCACCGCTAATTGCTGCAGCTCTGCTAATTAATTGCTGCAGCTCTGCTAATTAATTGCTGCAGCAGGTTGATGCCAGGGTGTTCATGCCCTGTGCCCCACACAACGGCCCAGAAAGCAGGAAAGGAGGGCCTGAGGGTGCTGGCAATGCCACCCCACGTCCCCAGCAGGACCAGAGCTGCCCCAACACACAAACACCCTTCACCACAGCCCTGTGCCCGCCGTGTGCCAGAGCAGATCCCAAATTYGGTGCTCCCTGGGCACCGGCTTTGCCACCCCAATGAGCCCTCACCCTTCCCCAGCACTGGGTATTCCCTTCCYCTCCCACATTCAGAAGTATTTGCCCCTTCTCTTCCCACCCCCTCACATGTACACCCTGAAAAGTTACCACAGAAGGTTTTTCTTTGTATAGAATATTTATTTTGAAGCTCTATTTTAATAGTATTTATTTTAGAAAGTCTACTATTGTAAGAGTTCTTCTGTTTGTGAAGAAAAACAAGTACTGATGAATGTACTGATCTAGAAATTATATATATATATAAATATATATTGTTAAATATATAAATGGCTGTTGTGGTTCTTTAAAAAAAAATCCCAAGAAAGTTTATAGCWATTATGCTAAAAATACATGCAGAGAGTGGCCCAGAATTGGGTATTTKGTGCTCTCCAGCCCTGCCAAGGAGCTCAGGGTGATGCTGGGCTTGCTCTGCCCCATGGCCTGGCACTTCAGGGGCTCATCAGTTAATTCTCCCTGCTCTGTCCCCTTGAAGTCAGTCTGCTCCTTCCACGGGGTCAGCCCTCAGAGTGACAATGGGATGGACATTAAAGGAACAACCCCAAAGTCAGTGGGGTTGTGCTGACCCCATCCCAGAGTGACAATGGGATGGACATTAAAGGAACMACCCCAAAGTCAGYGGGGTTGTGCYGACCCCATCCCAGAGCCTCCCTCGACCTTTCAGCCCCATTCCTGCTCTCCTGCTCCTCCTTCCCTGGAGCTGTGCTGCCCACACCAGAACAGCCCTGTTGGGGTTGTTGTGGGTGCAGAGCACCCTCCAGCCCACCCCAGGCTCCCCCAGCCACGGGGACAGCCAGAATCTCCCACCTCCTTGGAAAAAAGGACAAAAAACTGCCAAGGACCAGTTCCTGGGTCCCTGCTCAGCCCCTGAGCCACATCCTGRGGCTCSCACCCAGCAGCACCCACCACCCTTCCTGCCCCCAGCTCCTCGTGTGTCACCAGCATCACCCCGGACTGCTAAAAATACAGGATCCGGGTTATTTTTCACCATTCCTGTTATTTATTTGCACACACTGTGGAGCTGTGACTCACTGGAAGCCCTGCCATGTTTTGTGTCATCACAGAGKTAACCTGAGTGTGTTACCTGGCCTGAAATAATATTATTGAAACAATAATGTTGAATTAGTCAGTGAATCAGATAAAGAGACAATAACTACACTGTGCGGATCACGATATCTGATGCCAAAAAAATTGCAATAAGGAAAAGATACTGAATTTATTATGCTGGTAGTGGTTTTTCCTTTTTTTTTTTTTTTTTTTTTTTTTTTTGAACAAACAGGCTGAGCCAGGATGTATAAATTTAAATCAGAGTTTGGCAACACCAACTGATGTCTTGCACATAAAGCTTTAAAAATACCAACACGACATTCGTGTCTCTTTGCTGGAAGTGAACCAGAGCACGCTGCTTGATTTGAGTAGTAGATGTTAAAGTAATATTTTTTTTTTAATCTGTCAGAATTATCAGGGTTTTTWAAATAATTTTTTACACCGTTATCAATAATTGACCCTCAAAGGAAGCCAACTCCAACTCCACAAGCACATGTTATAGAATGGCACAGAGATGCACAGAGTTAAGAGTACAACAGAGCTCCCAAACCCCAAAGCAAGCCCAGCTCTTGGATTCCAGACTGAAAGGGAATTTCTGGTCAATCAAAGCACCAAAAATACCCTCAATCAATGTATCAGTTCTGAGAGAATKAAATTTACAGAAATTATGACTTTAYGGACATGAATGACCTGATTGAGCAGATTGCATCCCTTGGACCCTTTCAGCCCAAACCRTTCTGGGATTCTGTGTAATGGRATAAAAACCTAATTTTTAATTCCCTTTTAAACTATTTCTCTAAAACATGTACTTGATAAAAGGATGAGATTTTCCCAAAGGTTTAAGAAAACACTCTGGGTGAGATGTGAGGAGATGTGAGCGCTGCCAGCAAYGGGAGGAGGGGATGGGGAGAGCAAACACTGCTGGGCACAGGTTACACCCACCCTYGAAAGCAAACACTGTGATAATACAGCTCCACATGAAAAATAAATTCTAAACCAATTCAAATAAAATAAACCSTAACTTGTCCTGCCCTGGCAGCTCTCAGGTGGGTGTTTTGGCCGGGGAGCAGGACACGTTCCACCCTGGTGAGAGCTGGGGGAACACAACCCTGGAGCKCTCTGGGGAGAGCAGGAACAGCAGCAGAGCTCTGCTCCAGAGCCAGGCTCTGGCAGCACAGGGACACTGCAGCACCTGGCCCTGGGGACGGCGAAATGGGACCCCCAAAACCCCACAGACAGCCCCCATGGCTCTCAACCCTGCCCCAGCAGAGCATCCCCAGCACATGGTGAAGTGAAGCCCCTGACACCAACTGCCCCAGCTTC